CGCAGCAGGTACATGGTGGAGGACGTGGCGGGGCTGGCTGGGGACGTGGCAGGGACATGGAGGGGACAGCTGAGGACGCGGCAAGGATGCAGCGCCGACGTGGCAGGGACAGGGGGAGGATGGGTGGGGGGGCAGCAGGGGGCCCCGGCGGATGCAGGGGGGACACGGCAGGGACGGCTGGGGACGCAGCAGGGAGGTTGGGGACATGGTGGGGACACTGCTGGGGACATGGCGGGGCTGTGGCAGGGACATGGCGGGGCACACGGCAGGGGTGGCTGGGGATACTGCCGGGGATGCGTCAGGACACGGCGGGGACAGCTGGGGATGTGTTGGGGACGTGGTGGGGGTGGCAGTGGGGACGCGCTGGGGACAGCTGGTGAGATGGAGGTGGCAGTGGGGGACTCATTGGGTATGGCCGGTGACACGGGGGTGGCGGTGGGGACCCGCTGGGGACATCGTGTGACAGAGGCGGTGGTGGCACCTGGCAGCGCAGGTAGGGGTGCTGGTAGGCAGGGAGGGGGTGACCGTCCAGCAGCACCCGCCCGGCCTCCGGCGGGCGCAGACACAGGACCAGGGACACCAGGGTGCTCTTCCCCGCCCCCGGGGGGGCCAGCACCGCCAGCACCTCCCCGGGGCGCAGCTCCAGGGACACGCCCTGGGGGGACAGACGTGACACCCTGTGCCCCCGACCCCAGTGTCCCTGGCCCTCCCCGTGCCCTCCCCACCGTGTCCCCCTGGCCCCACGCCCTCCCCACCACGTCCCCATGGCCTCAACACCATGTCCCCACCACCTCCATGTCCCCATGGCCCCGACACCATGTCCCTACCACGTCCCTGTCCCCATGACCTCCCCACCATCTCCCCACGTCCCCCCACCAGTGTCCCCACACTCTCCCCACCACCTCCATGTCCCCATGCCCTCCCCACCATGTCCCCATGTCCCCACCATCATGTCCCCACCACCTCCATGTCCCCACGTCCCCCCACCATGTCCCCACACTCTCCCCACCACCTCCATGTCCCCATGCCCTCCCCACCATGTCCCCATGTCCACCTGCCATGTCCCCACACTCTCCCCACCACCTCCATGTCCCCACGTCCCCCCACCCTGTCCCCATGT